GCATCTACATTTGACCTAAATTTCAGCACATTATAAATGCAATTTGTGATGATCTTTGCTAACTTTTGTTCCATAACTCGTTTGACTTAGAAACATAACACACGACTATCATACGACTATAATAACTCATAAATTAACCTCCTCATCATGTTAATCACCCTAGTCTCACCCCAAAAGAATATGTTATAACATTCCAAACTTGTCGATTTTTGACGATACTTATTTTCTTCAATTCGTTTAGCGACTAAGCTTTCCAACCCTTTTGGTACTTGTTATTCATGATCTTAAATATTTGTAACCTCCAAGGTAACATGATTAACTTACTTTATTTGCTTCCAAATATAATCTCATTTTCGAGCTTACATCAATGACTTACGACGTACTCTCACGTATGAAAACTTGGGGTGTAACAAAAATGGTCTGCACATGGGAAAGGAGTTGACTGATCCTTTTGAGATTGAAATGATTACAAATCTGCCAACACAGCAAAATTCGTAAGAATAGTTAATTTTTTCTTTACTTTGTTTTCCTCATTCATATTAACATTTTCACTTCTAATTGACTTTTATATTCTATTCATTTATTTTATTTCAGAGATTGTGGAGTATATGTTGCATGCTTTGTTGAGTATATTATTGAAGATCTCCCAATCCCTGTTGCCGATTTTGATGTGGATGGTCTTCGAGCTAGGTTTGGTATACTGTTGTGGCACTATGGGAGGAACAAGCAGTTGCATGGCGAATCAAGTGAATCTGAGGCTCCAGTAGCACCTAAAAAGACTCGTGGAAAGAAACGCAAGAAGTAGTATAGGTCTCTTTTTGGTTTTAGTTAATCGTAGCATGAAAACTTTGCAGGATATTAATAGTTTTTGATGATGTATGGTATTTTGCATTATTATATTGTAAAAATGCTAGCTTTTAAAAGTGTTTTCTAGGAATACAATTGTAATAGTACAATATGTTGCTATAACTGTTTTAATGTTGGAATGTATCTTCAGTTTGTTTTATTAGACTTTTCTTAGGCTTCTTCCATAAAGTTGTTGGTTTAATAGGAGTGCCTTTTGGAGACAAAATTTTGTCATCACTTGAAGTCAAGCTATTAGTGTAGAACATGGCTGTTACAGTAGCATTGTTAGTTCCTACTACTACTTTCATTTGTAGTAGAAGAAGCATTATTAGTTCGATGTAATACACAAGCAGAAGTTGTTTTTGGAGGTGTATTTTTAAGGGAGTTACGATGTTCAAAAAGAGGAACTATGTTGTTATTTTGTTGAAGAACAGGGCGAGCATTGACTTGACTGAGGAGAAATATTTTTAGAAAGTGAACTGGTCTTGAAATTATATTGAGAGTAGTTGTAGTTGAATCTAAGAAAATATGTGCATAATTTGCATTGCTGCACCAGTTGTATTCCGCAAAGATTTTGGTTCAGGTATATTAGTGTAGTAGAACTATATACCAATCAGGTATACTGATATATCATTTGGGTATCACGTTGTATTTGAGTACCTTTTTTGCTGCAGCAACTAGATGTAAGTACTGACATGAGTTGCAAAGCGTGCGCATTTTGGGTATCACGTTGTATTTGGTGCACCATTTGTATTTCTGCGCATATTTTATTTTAGCCATATTAGTGCAATACCACTATATACCAGTGAGGTATATACAAATATACCATTTGGATATCACCTTATATTTATGTACCTGATGATGTACAATAACTGCATGTAAATGGCTTCCAATTTGTTATACTTCAATACAGACATGAGCTGCAAAGTGTGCCCATTTTGTTAACGATGTATGTACAAATGTTGCATTTGCGGCACCACTTCTATTTCTGCACATATTTTGATACGAATAAGATATACAGATATACCAATAAGGTATACAGATATACCACTTAGGTATCACATTTATCGTAACGACCTGGCCGGTCGTTTTTGGAATTTATGCCCCGATCCTCTATTAACTAGATTTAAATGCATCCCACTTTTTTATACTAAAATAGAAAATAAACAGGTTCTTCTTGAAAACACAAGTAGCCATATAAATTTGTTTCCAAAAAGTAATTTCGCAAAGAATCATCATACCAAATATATGTCTAGTGCAAGAAATGCGTTTTATTTCTTTGCAATTCAAATGCTATGATTCTATGATATATGAGTTCTATGAAAACATTGAACCATTATATCAATCTCTCTTTGAAATATTTCGGCATGTTCTCCGGTTGTGTCCTTTTCTCCCGCATAGTGCACATGTAACTGTATTTCCTTCCCAGCCTCCTATGCCTCTCTTCTTTTTAGGTCTTCCTGGTTTGATTTTTCCTTTTGGTGGCAGTACCACCTGCGAAGAGACATGTTCTGGAATTTGCCACGTTGTTTCATCAGGCAAAGGATTTACTGGTATCTCATATGTTTTCAGCAAGTACTCTATGCTATAGTAATCCGAGCAATACTTGTATGAATCCATATGGAATTTTTGTATAACTGCCATTGCATGTGGACATGGAATATCGTCTAGCTGAAACCTCCCACAAGTGCAGTTTTTTTCATGTAGGCGCACCACATTTCTTGTTTGGCCATCAATTACTAAATGTAAGAATTCAGTTGATGATAACACCTAGTATAATTTTAATTAAGAAAAGTCATTAGCTATACGAAGTAATAGTATTTTTCAAATAATAATATTCAGTTGTTTAGTGAAATCACTAAGGTAAAAAAGTAAAACTACAGTACATGCAGTGTTTTTATGATTTTGAAAATGCATACCGTCATCGTCTGTGATAAGATAGTATTATCTGATAATATTTTTTCATACTTTGCACCAATCTTCATAAATGATTCCACTGCATCCTTCTGATTGGTGTAATTCCATTTTTGAATCAATGTTGTCATAAAGTCAAGCAAATTCACAACTGGGAGGTCTCTTGCGTGCTTATTTGCTGCATTTACTGATTCCGTAATATTCGATGTCATGGTCATGGTTCTATTTGCCTTGGAATGCGCCCGGGACCATTTATCATATCCAATATCCATCAGGTATGTTTTCACTCTACTATCAATAGCTTCTAACTCTGCCATATGCCTGTTGAATTCTTCAACAGTGTATGCTCTTGCTAACACAAAATATACTTCTTTGATTTGTTATTGGCTCTTCCTGAAGTTTGTCTTTATGTTGTTCCACAGATGGAACATACATGCACAATGAGGGACTTCTGGATAGACAATTGAAGTTGCTTTCCATATAGCATCATGCATGTCTGATACAATGCACATTCCCTCTCTTTGTCCATAGGTTTCTCTGAACTGCACGAAGAACCATTCCCACGATGCATCATTTTCCGAATCAACAGTTGCATATGCGAGGGGTAGAATTTGTCCTGTAAATCCAAAGAACAAAATATCAATTACAATACACTATATTAATTTAGCATTTCATATAGTAGTATAGTCATAGGTAGGTGCAAGTGTGTAGCAAAATAACTATATACTCTGTTGGTATACTTGTATACCATACTGGTATCATATAATATTTGAAAATATTTTTTGTTTCTTTAACTGAATGTAATTGGATTGTACACAAAATATTAATTTAGTATTTCATATAGTAGTATAGTCATAGGTAGGTGCAGGTTTGTGGCAAAACAACTATATACTCTGTTAGTATACTTGTATACCATACTGGTATCATATAATATTTGAAAATATTTTTTGTTTCTTTAACTGAATGTAATTAGATTGTATTCTTACCCTCTGCGTCTTGCGTGGAAGCCGTGAGTATGGTCCCTCTATATGTTGACTTTAAAAAACTTCCATCAACTACAACTGTTGGCCTACAATAGACCCATCCTCTAATCGATGCATACATAGCTATGAATGCATACAAGAAGCTCTCATCTCCTTCAGTGTGTAGTCGTGTCACTGATCCTGGGTTAGCGTACTCTAACTTATAAAGATATGTTGGCATTTTCTTGTATGACTCACTTGGTGATCGTCTCAATAATTGCATTGCTTTTTCTTTTGATCTCCATGCTTGCATGTAGCTTAAGTCCATACCATATGCTTTTTGGATGTCTCTTTGGATATCTGTTGGTGTATATATGGTTTCCGGGTCAACAAGTTTATCTTGTACCACAGCTGCAACAAAAGCTGAGACAACTTGCTTTTGTGAACAAAATCTCTTATCAGTTAAACAACTGTAGACAGAATTGAAATCCGTCAGTTTGAAAAGATTTGATGCTCGCAGGCTTGATGCTTTAAGTCTCCAAGTGCATCTTTCATCCACGCATTCAAGGATATACCTGTTTATAGTACAAATACAGTTATGTATCATGTTCTATTGATAAAAAACACACACAAAAATCCGTACAATTATATACTCACATGGTATACTCTATTGGTATACTTATATACTGTATCAGTATCATATTTTGCTGATAAAAAATATAGACAAAGCAGCACAATTCTATACTCACATAGTATACTGATTTAGCATACATATATACTATATTGGTATTATGTTTTACTGATAATAACAAAGACAAACCAATACAGTTATATACTCGCATAGTATACTGATATAGCATACTTATATACTATACCAGTATCACTGATAAAAAACACAGACAAACCAATACAATCCATACTCGCATAATATACTGATTTAGCATACTTATATACTATATAGGTATCACATAGTTTTTTACTTGAAAAATGCAGAAGAACCTTCTTGGGCATGATTTATGAACCCGATATTGACATTTTTCTCTAACTGCATACTGTTTCATAACGAGAGCCAGCAGGTTCTTGTCTTCGTAAATTTGTCCGTTTTCAACATTTTGATGAAATTGATCAGTTATGATGTTTGCATCATCAAGTTCTAAAATAGCGTCATCTCCTTCTTGCACATCAAACGTAGTAATCATATCAGTGCTTTCAAATTCTGCAATTTCTGATGAAATTGGAGCAACATCAAAACTGGAGGTGCTTGCAACTATAGTGTTTTTAGCAAACGACACACACAGGGGAAGTGTTGTCATCCCTGCACTTGATTTTTTCAATTCCATGTAAACACTAACACTCATATCGCTGCAAATTGTAATTGGTGGATATCCTTGAGCAATAGCATACTGAATAACTATTGTTTTACTGTCCTTTTGCAGTTGCTTTGCAATTTCTCTGAGAAGTTGTTTAAATTTCCAATAGGTCTTTATTAGAATTGCATCAACATGAAAATTTATGAAATTATTGTTATCATCCCATTCTCCACTATNGCTTTACCCCGACAGTTTGGAGGAAATAGCTGGCTACATTGGAAAAGGATGAGGTTCCGTTGAGGCACAAATACTTGGTTGCTCCCCGAGTTGTAGCTGTACACAAATTTCTAGACTCCTTGAAGATAGTCAGGGCCGTCATAACACAGACCTGGCAAATGGTTTCTGTACCCTAAACTTCATATATCATCGCTATGGTCATATTGGGGGGTTCAACAACCCAGAAAGTAAGATATGTAGCAAAGGAAACCGCCAGAAGTAGGAGGAGCATCGATGTTTCGCTTTTATGGTGGCTTTCTTGGGGCTTTTAGTATTTCCGAGGAAGGATGGGAACATCGATATAAAAATAGCCGGAGTCGTCAGCACGTTAATTACCCAAGCCAAAAGTACACTTGCACCTATGATATTGGCCGACATCTTCCGTGCTCTTACAGCTTGCAAAGCCGGGGAAACTTGCTTCGAGGGGTGCAACTTGTTATTACAAATGTGGATGATCGAGCATCTGTGTCATCGCCCGCAGTTTTTGAGCTACGGGTCTCCAGAAAAAACATGCATAGAAGAATTTTACACGAGGACTGAAGGAGCCAAATTGCCGGAAAGAGTCACGGGATGGACAACATATTTCCGGTCCCTCACGGCTAGCCGAATAGAGTGGACACTGGGATGGTTACCCATTGATGAAATCGTATATATGCCGGCAGCCCGACCACATTTCCTTCTAATGGGGCTTAGAAGCATTCAGCCTTACACCCCGTATCGAGTGTTGAGGCAGCTGGGGAGATGCCAGATAGTGCCCAAGGATGAAGATCTTAGTTTGCAAGTGATTGAGATTGGCCCTGATGGCCAGTTCCCTGAAACAATAGTTCGCCAGATTTGGAACGAATGCCAATACTTAAAAAGGGATACTTGCGTACGGGATCGGGCCAAAGGTGAAGTGTCGCCAGGATATCTTGATTGGTATAGAAGGGAATGTGAGCACGAAAGGCCAGCTAAAATACCACACATCCAGGACTTTGCTGAATCATCGCAAGAACAGTGGGCTTGGTTAGCTAAAGAAAACGAGTACATGGCCCGCATAGGAGCATTGGAAAAACAGGTCCAAGACCTCCGGTTTGAAAATAGCTTGCAGGCCGCCGCTGACGAAGGTGAGAGAAAAAGATTGGCTAAAGAGAATGAAGTCTTACGATCCCAAATCCAAAAGATGAAGCTAGAGGCCGACAACCCCGTCAGAATTGCCAAAGATACAAAGCTTATAGCAAATCTAAGGCAAAAGGTGAATGATTACAGTTTTGACCTCGACAAAGCAGAAAAGGAATTAGTTGGGGTCCGGAGACAGTTGGCTAAAAATGCAGAAGTACGGGCTCGCATGGTTAAGCAGTTAAAAGAAGAATATGACAATAAGGTCGCAAGATTAAAGGAAAAGGCCACTGCCGCAGAAAACCAAATGATTAAACAAGCAAAGGACTTCGAAGTCGAGAGAGAACACTGTAATAGGGCATTAGCACAGCTAGAAATGAACTTGCAACAACTTCGAGAACAAAGCCATGCGTTTGAGCAGGCTTTGGAGGCTAGGGCCCAGCAGATAGGGCGGTTGCTTCAAGAGAAAGGAAGAATCCGAGAGAAAATCTTAACCGTTGCTCATTCTATTACCCGGAAATGCCAGATGTGCGAGAACATGACCAGTACCACCTTCTTTGCATCAATCATGATATTCGTGAAGCAGATAATGAATGACTTAGATAGACTCCAAGGGGAACTTGCATATAGGCCCGTGGCGAGACCGAACGATGTCCCGCGGGCACCAGGGAGCTTTAATGTATTCATAGTTGTCTGTGAGTCTGCTAGAGTTTACCTTTTGAGTCTGTATTTCATGGAGTTAGGTCACTTGGGCTTGTATTTCTTTTTGTCGGAGTCTGTATTTCCCTTTTGCTAAAAGACAGTCAGTTGATTGAGTCTGTATTTTGTTTGAACTAGGATAGGGATGTGGAGTCTGTAGTTCTTTTTGCATCAGAGTCTGTCTTGAATCTTTGTAATAGACGTAGTTGCTATCAATAAACTTGGAAATTCCCAAAAATATTCTGCTTTTACTTTACATTTATTCTTCGCGAACTACGCCTGGTCTGATTCACGTGGGGTCGTGATATGTAGGCAATCTCCATAGGATTCGACCATTTCTAAATAATAAAAGGAAAACTAAAAAGGGATGATACAAATAAGGGAAAAACCAAAGGAAAGAGAATCCAAAAGAGGGAGAGAAAAACAAAGCGAAAAAGGAAAGATAAGAGTGGGAACTAATTGGCAAGAGAAAGAAATAAAAGCCGGGATGACGCATGTGGTTGAACAACGACATAATAGCAACGTTTGATTGTTTAGGTGCATCCATCCATCAATGTGCGGTTACCTATTTGTTAATGCCCTAACCGCTAACAAGTTGTTGTTGATGAGTCCAGGCAGGTGATAAGCTGACTGGCATTCTGGCAACCCACCCTTACAACACCCGCTCCAAAGACAAGTCGAAAATGGCCAATCAAGATATAGAAGCAAGCATCGTTGACCCATCCAGAGAGGAGGAGGCAGTGGATGTGAATACAATGAGAGAGGAGATGTATAAGTTAAAGCAGCAGATGGCCGAAATGTACCAGGCTTGGTCGAAGGGACATCCCCCACCAGCCTATCCTGCCAATCCCAATTATCTCCCACCACCCACTCAACCCCAAGATCCTCCCGCAACGAACTCATATCCTGCTCTTCCTACTCACCAGCAATATTACGGAACCACTTCTCAGACACCACCACTACCACCCTCCAAGCCAATTCCACCACCACCAATCGCCCCAGTATTCGTGGCTCCTCCACCCACCGCATTACATAGGTCCTCAAGTGAACCTCTGTTCCAAACCCAGGAAAATCACTATTACCCGCCCGAACCCACCTTCAAACCTCCAGAACCATACTCTTACACTCCCCATTTTAATCTCTCAGCTGAAGAAGAGAAACCTCCCAAAAACCCGGAACAAGAGGAGATGATACGAAAGGTCAAAAGTTTAGAGCAGTCCTTCAGGAATATGCAAGGTCTCGGGGGTCAAGTAAGTGTGGCCTACAAGGACTTGTGCTTATTTCCTGACGTCCAATTGCCAGTGAGATTCAAACTACCCAAGTTCGACTTATATGACGGCCATGGTGATCCGGTGGCCCACCTGAGGGGTTTCTGCAGCAAGATGAGGGGGGCTGGAGGAAAGGATGAGCTATTAATGGCCTACTTTAGTCAAAGCTTAAGTGGAGCGGCGTTGGAATGGTACACAAGACAAGATCATGCTCGGTGGTACACCTGGGATGACTTAGCTCAAGCTTTTGCATGTCATTTTCAGTACAACCTCGAAATCGTCCCAGACCGTCTGTCATTGACCAAAATCGAGAAGAAGCCCGGAGAAAGCTTTAGAGAGTACGGGTTCCGCTGGAGAGAGCAAGCAGCAAGGGTTGATCCCCCGATGAAAGAGAATGAGATGGTGGATTATTTCCTTCAGGCTCTAGAGCCAACCTACTATGGCCATCTGGTGTCCGCTGTGGGGAAAACTTTCAATGAAGTTGTAAAGATGGGAAGCATGGTAGAAGAGGGTCTCAAGTCCAACAAAATTATGAGCTACTCAGCACTCAAAGCAACCACGCAGGCCATTCAAAGCGGCACCGGAGGAGTGTTGGGCAAGAAGAAGAAAGAAGAAGTGGCGGTAGTGGAATCAAGGGTTTGGTCCAGGGGTCCGTCACCATATTATCACCAACCTCGCCCTCACCCCCAAGCTTACCCGCATACCTCATATGGCCCACCACAGCATTACTACCCACCTCCTACTCCCCATTTCTCTGTCCATCATGCCCAGACATACCCACAACCTCCTACTCGTGCCCAATGGCGCGCACCCACTCCCCAAAACACTTACCCATCCCCAAGAACCAACCGAAATGCCGCTGAAACCAGTTTCCAACCCAATCCTGCATATAAGAATGATAGAGCGCAGAAGAAGAAGACTTTTACTCCCTTGGGAGAATCTTATACGAGCCTATACCACAGACTGAGGCAGTTGGGTATGTTGAACCCGATCGAACCTAAATTACCAAACCCTCCCCCAAGGAACCTGGACCATTCAGTGAATTGTGAGTACTGCTCAGGAGCGCCTGGACATGATACAGAGAAGTGTTGGCATCTGAAAACTGCCATTCAGGAATTGATTGATACACGGAGAATTGAGGTGCAGGCTCCAGAGACTCCCAATATCACGCAGAATCCGCTACCAATTCATCATGAGGCTCACATGATCGAGATAGTGCAGAAGGGAGAATACAAGAAGCCGTCGCAGACTGTGATGATGATTAAAGCAAGCGAAAGTAAAGCAAAAGAGGACTTGGTTGGCAGTGGGCCGGACAGTCAGTGAACCAGTGAGGGTAATAAAACCAGGGCCTGTTAAAGGTGACAATACCAGGAGCAGCTGTCGAGCCTGTGTTGGTTGTAAAAGGCGTTCGAACAGAGCCAGTCATCATCAAACCGGTGACCCAATTACCCGTGGTTAGTGAGAAAGCTGTCCCGTGGAATTATGACAGAGTGACTGTGATGTACCAAGGAAAGGAAATTAAAGAAGAAGTGTGTGAAACTCATGGGTTGACTAGATCAGGGAGGTGCTTTGCCCCTAAAGAATTGAGAAAGGTTAAAGCAGCTAAAGACAATTCGGCACCGATAAAGAAAGCCGTTACTGAAGAAGAAGCTGAAGAGTTCCTGAAAAAGATGAAGGCTCAGGACTATTCGATTGTGGAACAACTGAGGAAAACCCCGGCACAGATCTCATTATTGTCCTTATTGATCCATTCAGACGAACACCGCCGGGCCTTGATGAAGATTCTAAACGAAGCTTATGT